CCGGGGCTGAAGGGTCAGAGAGACAGGAAGCTTAGGCTCGGGCTTTTCCCCTGTTGGGGCATGAATGAAAGTCCCCCAGAGAAGAAGACTTGAGCTCCCCTCCCCACCCCAATGGGCTTCAGCCTATTCCATAATCCACCCTCCAAAAGTTCAGTGTATACCTGAACTCTTGGTTCCCCTGACCTTAAGTATCAGAAATGTGAAAGGAAATGTACAAGACAAATGTGTATAAAGAATTGCCAGTGTCAGTTAGTAGAGCATGCAACGCTTGATCTCCGGGTCATGGGTACGAGCCCCATATCGGGTGTAGAGATTACTTTAAAAAAAAAAGATTTGTCCGTGTTTATGGGGCATTTACTATATGCCAGGGGCAGTGCTAGATGCCTTACATATATGATCTCATTTAATCCTACAAAAAACCTTATGAGGGGTCAGAACGGTTATCACCCCTATTTTACAGGGGGGAGTGGGAGCCCAAGACGGATTGAACAACTTGCTCCCAGTCACACAGCTTGAAAGTGATGAATCGGACTCTTCTGGGAAAGCAGAAGAGAAAGGAGGGATGAGAAAGAAAGGAAAACCAAGGAAAGAGCTTGAGGAAAAGAAAGATTGGAGCACCTGCTGTGCTGTGGGGATAATGCGGGGAAAGAATGAATCAAGAGGAGTTTCAGGAAGTTGTATGGCAGGTTGTGAGGCTTTTCGAGCCAGATGCTAGCTCTCCGGCTGTGTGTGTCGTGAGTTCTCAGCAGAAGCAGGCTTCAAGGCAGCCCTGCTCTATTTGGGTGACATTTTGGAGCTAAGTAATTCAGATTTTGGACCCAAAGTTCCATACTCGGCTACACTTCTGATTAAGCGAGCCCCAGACCTGAGCCACGGGTGCCCTCCAGGATGCCAGGCTCATGGTGCAAGAGCTCAGGAGTTGAGATGGAAGCTGAGGTTTACCTAGAGCACCCCCTATAAGTCATAGCGACACTGTAACCCATGTCTTGGTAGAAATTGCTCCTGTACTCAATGTATCAGACAGATACTCGGTGCTATGTGTACATCAAAAAGACACAGGGTTACAGTCGATGGTGGTACACGAGCTCCCCTTATTTGGAGAAAGTCTATGAAACGCCCTTGGAAGGAGAGATTGCAGGCTGGAAACCCAGGCTCCAAGGATACCAATGTCTTCAAATTTAGAAGGGGAGGGGAAAGATACGGCGCTGATATGATTCAACTAGTTTCATGCAAGGGAGGAAAACTTTTCCTCTACCCTCTTAGGTTCAGTTTTTGGGGTCTGCAAATCAAACTGACAAAAGACAGATTGGCAAGAGAAAAGACATGTTTTTGGGTTTTGTGGGTTTTTTTAAGATTTATTTATTTGTGAGAGAGAGAGTGAGCAGGGGAAGGGGCAAAGGGAGAGGGAGACAAGTAGACTCCCTGCCAAGCGGGAAGCCAGATGTGGGGCTTGATCCCAGGACCCCAAGATTATTACCTGAGCTGAAATCAAGAGTCGGACGCTTAACTGACTGAGCCACTCAGGTGCCCTAAGACAGATTTTTATTCACATACATATGTGGGGGGAATTTACAGAAAAAGTGACTCAATGAAGCAGTTGGAATTTGGGGCATATATACCATCTTAACTGGAGAAGGCGAGTGGGAAAAGGACACTTTGGAAAATGGCTTCTTAAGCAGGGGAGGGATGGGAAGAAAGGGCCCTTAGGGGAAAATGAATTACTTTCAAGAAAGATAAATGGGCCCTTAGGAGAGTAGATGACAACAGATACGATAGTTTTGTGACAATGTCTATTTAGGTGTGGTGCTGACTTCTCCAGTGGTAAGACTCCAGTGATAAGATTTAATCTTTCCTGGTTGTAAGAAACCTCCCCCGGAGGGAATTTATGAGTTGAGTTCTTTTGGGAGGCTCTACTTTTAGGCAGATAAGGGGCTTCAGAAAAAAAGCCTGTTCTCAATATGCCTTCAGCTTTAAAATAGCAGCACTATTCAGTGGAAGTGAAATGGGAGCCTCATAGGTAATTTTATATTTTCTAATGGCCATATTTCAAAAGTGGAACCAATTTTGATAATATATTTTATTTATTTATTTTTAAAAATTCTTTATTTAAGGAGCGCCTGGGTGGCTCAGTCATTAAGCAGCTGCCTTCGGCTCAGGTCATGATCCCAGGGTCCTGAGATTGAGCCCTGTGTCTGGGCTCGCTGCTCAGTGGGAAGCCTGCTTCTCCCTCTCTCACTCCCCCTGCTTGTGTTGCCTCTCTAGCTGTCTCTCTCTCTCTCTGTCAAATAAATAAATAAAATCTTAAAAACAATTCTTTTATTTAAGTTCAATTTAGGTAACATATACTGTATTATTAGTTTCAGGGGTAGAATTTAGTGATTCATCAGTTGCATATGGCACCCAGTGCCCATCACATCATGTGGCCTTCTTAATACCCATCATCCAGTTACCCCATCCCCCCACCCCCCTCCCCTCCAGCAACCCTCAGTTTGTTTCCTGTAGTTAAGAATCTCTTATGGCGGGTGCCTGGGTGGCTCAGTTGGTTAAGCGACTGCCTTCGGCTCAGGTCATGATCCTGGAGTCCCTGGATCGAGTCCCGCATCGGGCTCCCTGCTTGGTAGGGAGTCTGCTTCTCCCTCTGACACTCCCGACCCTCCCCCCTCTCATGTGCTCTCTCTCTCAGTCTCTCTCTCTCTCAAATAAATAAATAAAATCTTTAAAAAAAAATAAAAATAAAAAAAGAATCTCTTATGGCTTTTCTTCCTCTTTGTTTACATCTTATTTTATTTTTCCTTCCCTTTCCTATGTTCATCTGTTTTTTTTCTTAAATTCCACATGTGAGTGAAATCATGTGGTATTTGTCTTTGACTGACTTATTTCGCTTAGCATGATACCCACTAGTCCCATCCATGTCGTTGCAAATGGCAAGATTTCTTTCCTTTTGATGGCTGAGTAATATTCCTGTGTGTGTGTGTGTGTGTGTGTGTGTGTGTGTGTGTGTATACACCACATCTTCTTTATCCATTCATCTGTCAGTGGACATCTGGGCTCTTTCCCTGTTTTGGCTATTGTGGACATTGCTGCTATAAACACTGGGGTGCGTGTGCCCCTTCAAATCACTATGTTTGTAACCTAGTAGTGCAACTGCTGGGTCATAGGATAATATATTTAATTATAACCCAATCAAAAATGTTATTTCAACCTGTAAAACATTTGAGATATTTTACATTCTTTTTTTGGTAATAGGTCTTCCAAATCCAGTTTGTACTTTACACTTACCCCAATTCAAGTGAGCCATACGTCAAGGGCTCAATATGTGGCTAATTGATGCCATATTAGACAGCATATGTCTACAAGGTCCAGCGTTAGGAATTTTTTTATGGATTCAAGCCTGCCAATACCCCTGCCTGCTTCTATAGCTGAATTTCTAGCAGATATAGGAAAAAAGTTACAGCAAGATGGGGAGCTCCTGGGATTAGGATATTATTAGGATTATTAGGATATTAAGGTGGGACATGTCAATGGCAAGGCTACAACCTATAGGACATTTTTTTTAGAGAGAGAGAGAGTGAGCATGCGGGAGTGGGGGTGTGGGGTGGGGTGGGGAGGGGCAGAGGGAGAGGGGAGAGAATCTTCAGCAGGCTCCATGCCCAGCTTGGAGGCTGACACAGGGCTCAATCCAAGCCAGTCATGGCGATCCCATTCCTTATGCCCAGCACTTGCTTTCCCAGCCTCCCTTGTGGCCAGAGGTGGTCATGTGACCCAGTTGGAGCCATTGCGATAAGGAGAAGTCAGCCTGGAGGCTTTTGGGTGAGATGAGGCATGCTAGGAGAAACACTCTGTCCTCACCCCCCTATGCACCCACCCTCTACTCCATGCTTCCTAACTTAGAATATGGTGAGAGAACATGACGTTAGGAGCTGCTGTGAAGGCATCTGCCAGTTGGGAGGAGGTTCCAGAACTGCAGGACAGCCAGCATCCAAACAGACGCCAGCGCTTCCCATCTCCAGACTTCTGGGTTTGTGAGAGATGTGTGTCCCTAGTCGTTTAAGCCATAATGACATGGATTTTTTGTTCCTTTCAGGTAAATCCAGTCCTAACTCAGAAACCTAATGGTTACTCTAAGGCTTCATTGATCACAAACTACAAAATCCTGGGGCTGGGAGAGCATCTCAGTTTTAATTAGTTCACTCTCTTCCTTCTTTGTGTGAATCTTCTCTCCTGCATCCCCACTGAGGGTCAATGAACCTCCACTTGCATATCTCGGTGACGGGGACCTCAGTACTGCCTAAGGCAACCCAGGTTTGGTGGCTCCAGGGGGTATAACATTTTTGTATTAAACCAAAACCAAATTCCCTACAATTCTACCCATTTGTCTGAGTAGTTGGGAAAGAACGAGGAATTGTAGAAAGGGTAGAGGGGTGGAGTTAGATGGGTGTAGAGCCAACTTTTTCTAATTATGTGACATTGAGCAAGTCACTGAACCTCTCTGAACGATAGTTCATCTATAAAGAAAATAAATTCTCCCTCCTGGATCATTGTGAGAATTTGCTAGCACAGAGTCAGTCCGAAGCAATTGTTAGTGGTCTGAGCCCTTAACACATGCGTTGTGTCAGCTAGGGGGGCACATCTGGGAATTGGGCCCAGAACGAAGGTATGAGCCCAGGACAAGGACTGGGAAGTTTTGATGCCGGGCAGGAATATGGACCGTTCTAACTCCCCACTAGAAGTGTGTGCATGTGTGTGCGTGCACATGCTCCTGTCTGAGAATTTGAGGGCCAAGAAGGGCATCCCAGGAAGGTGTGATTGGTCCCCAGATGGAGAGATTCCCAGCGTGGCTGCTTCACAACCTTGTCTCCAGGCTGCCCAGTCTCATTCCACCTGGTCCCAGACCCATCCGTCCTTCCTCTGACCTATTTGACAACTGCCTTGATGAGGCAAAGGCTTGATGTGACATCAAGGAAGACACTGACTCAGCAAGAACATTCAGGAGCCAGGGGAAGGTTGCAGGAAGAGCTTTAATTGCGGAGAATCCAATCAGAAAAGGCAGGTGCTGGTCAAGGGGGGCGGGCAGCCAGGGAGAGGTGGTGGAGGAGGAGCGTCCTTCAGGGTTTTACTCCCTGGAGCGTCCAGCATCATTGCAGATGCCGAAGTTGGTATTGGTGATGGAGCCCATGATGGTCTTATCACCCTCGCAGGTCAGACCCCGCTCACAGGGACACTTTTTGTAAACCCCATAGAGCGTCTGCAAAGACACAGAGCCAGTGGAGTCACAGGCTGTGGGGGGCCACTTTGGGCACAGCCTGCCCCCGGGGCCCGACCCAGAGAGCCCCAGGCCAGTCTCTCTTTTCAGTCTGTCTCCTCCCGACTCCCACGCGAGGGGGCGCTGTGGGCCTGGAGGACCCAGGTTCTGGTTCCCACTCTGAGCCTCATCTGCGCTTACTAACTAGAGCTCTCTGGAGAGCCTCTATTTACCCATCCGCGCAATGGGGGTGACAAATCCCCGACCGCACCCATCTCACTGGCCAGTTGGGAGGCTCAAAAGAGACGAGAGGCTGGGGAAGTGCAGCCTGTTAATCTCCCTGTCTCAGTCTCAGCGTTCAGCGTCTAGGCTGACCCTCCTCCCTCCCTGAGGCTCCCCCGAAGCCGAGGGCCCTCCTCCTGCGAACTGCCCCCCCTTCCCGCCGGCACCCACCTTGGCAGAGCACTCGCTGTTCTCGCTGGCCTTGGGCTCGCAGCGGGCCAGGCTCAGCACCGCGTCGTGGCGGCAGCACTTGCTCTTACACTGGGCGCTGTTCACGCAGAGCTCGCCGTTTTCCTGCCGCGGCAGCCGGTTAGCCCGGGGCCCCTCCCCGTGGTCCCTGCTCCACCTCCCCCCCCCCCCACGCCGCCACCGTCTCCCGCTGACGGTGCCTCCCCTGGCGCGGGCGTGTGTAGGGGAACCCAGCCCGTGGGGCCGGCGGCCCGTCTGCCTCCCCCCACCGCCCCCCGCACTCGTGGGAGACGCGGGTAGGGGCGTGGCTGCGAGACGGGACACCGGTTCTAGTACCCGCCGCACTACCAACTCCCGGGGTGACCCGGGCAAGTCACTGCCCCACCCTCTGCCTCAGTGGTCCCTGGGAATGTGCCCAGGTGACCCAGAACAGGGTCTCCAGACGTCTCTGGGTGCCGCAGTCCACCGAGGAGCCTGTGAAGGTGGACACCATCTCCCTGGAAAACTCCCTCCCTCCCTGGACAGGCTTGTACCTAGAACCTCAGGCGGATCCTGGCCCCTCTGAGCCCTGCAAGGCCCTGAGTTAAGAACCTTTGGGTAGAGAGGCGGCTTGGGGCAGTGGGAGAGCGCGGCTCTGGGGCCACCAGTCCGGGCTCCGATCCCCGCTCAATGCTTTCCAGCCGCGGGACCTCAGGCAGGCAGGTGGCTTCACCTTTCTCTACAACTGTTCCATCGGAATACGGGTTTGATGCTAACGGTAGCTGTCTCACGTGGTTGGTACGAGAACCAAGTGAGTAAATGTTCCTGAGGCATTTAGAGCTGTGTCTGTGTGTCACTCGAGGTCAGAAGCCAGAATCACTGGGGGAGCTTTTTAAACAGCTGGAGCCAGGTTTCCAGGGCAGGAGCCTAGGGCTCCGGATTTTTAGAAGGCTCCCTCAGCCGGGTCAAACCCCTGCTCTGCTACTCCCCGCTGATCAGCCTTGTCTGAGGACCTCGGGGGGCGGGGAAGAGGCACAGGGCAGACACGGGCAGTAACGGGAGAGATGCTCACCTCTCAGCCTCCGGGCAGCCCCAGGTGGAGACATTAGAGGTGAAGATCTAAGTTTCAAAAATCCCCACCTGGATCTTCAGATGACTCCTCCCCCGACGTCCGTCTTACCAGGTTGATAATGATCCCCCGAGGGTCAGGAACTGCGTAGACCACGGCGAGGGCAACGAGCAGCAGGGCAAGGACCTTCTCCATGACGAACAGCACAGCTGGATCAGGGAGCCACTGGCAGGTCAGGTGGCAGAAGACAGCCAGCTAGGGTGGTGGGGCTATAAAAGGGGCCCTGTCCACATGTGACCCTCCTTCCCCATCCCACAGGGCTTGACGTGAACAGAGGCCCAGCTGTGGCCAGTCACCTGGGGGGAGTGTCCGTGATAAAGAGACTGGGCAGCACCTGGCACCTTTTGTGTGTGTGTTTGGGGGGGGTGATACTGCATCGTGGTTGGGTGTGGACTCTGGAACACTTTTACTTGTATAAGTTATAAGCTGGGCAAGCTATCTGTTCTGAGTCTCAGTCTCTCCTTATCTGTCAACTGGGAATCATTTCAAGAGTTGGGGTGGGGGGAGGCTGAGGGAATGAATATGTTGGATATATCTTAACACACATATATCTCACTCTGGGTGTACTTCCCTCCTGCCCTCAACCAGGGGGCTGCCTCCATGAGTGATCTCAGGGGCCTTTAGGACAGTCTTCCTCAAACGATTCTTTCCTGTTTCCTTTGCACTTCCCTTAATATCTGCAATCCCAGAATTAAAGACTCACCCCTTCAGTGAAGGCTTCCACTCACCCCGTCCACTACCCAAGGCCACATGTGAGCGCGAACGGTAGTCAGTCCTGGCTGAGAACGAGGAGGTCTGGTGAGCTTCAGGTGGCCCTGGGCTGGAGGCTGGGAAGGGCGCAGCTGCCAGAGTGTGCTCAGGTGTGGGACCAGAGCGGCTTTCCCTGGAGGACTGGTCATTGTGGCCAAGGAGCCCCCCGCCCCACCCCATTCCAGGGCGTGGAAGACCGCTCCACTGCGCAGGCCCCAGATTGGGTCGCTGAGAGCAAAGCTTTGATCCAGACAGACTTGGCTCCCAAACTCAGTACTCACAAGCTATGTGGCCCTGGGCAAGTCATTTTAATTTGTAAGCAGTCTGAGCCTCCGTTACCTCATCTACCCAAGGAAGATGATGGCTCCTTCTCTGTAAGGTCAGGATTGAACAATGTATGTGGGAGTGCCTAGCGGGTAGTAGGTGCTCCGCCCATGTAATATCAGCCCCTCCCGTCCCCCTTACACCACGAGAGGGTGGAATATAGGGGAGCAGCTCGAGAACCAGCCAGGAGACCCTCAAAATGGGAGAAACCCATCAATTCCAGACACAGAAATACCACTGATTAAACAAACACTGTTCTCTCTTATATTGTGGATCTCAGTGTTTAAAACCACTTCTCCCCCATGAGCTCATTCTGGCCCCTTCTTCGCTACCCCCCCCATACCCCTGTGAGCTGAGCCACAGGGAGGGTAATTACGCTTTCCTTCTCACAGGTTCAAGGCCGGGAGGCTGGGGAAGGAACTGGAGGAGCTATTTCTGTCCGTGAAGGGAGCTATGAAAAATGCATCAGTCCTGTCCCCAACTGGTCACAGTCAGCTTCCCAGAGGAGAAAGAGTGGGTTTTTCCCTTTTAAAGGAAGAGTATAGCAAAGAGAACTTTGACCAATGTTAGTGCTTCCAAAACATAAGCAAAAATTAGATTTTTTTTAAGGAGCCTCCGCGCCCAGTGTGGAGCGCCACACAGGCCTGGAACTTACGACCCTGAGATCAAAACCTGAGCTGAGATCAAGAGTTGGACACTTAACTGACGGAGCCACCCAGGTGCTCCAATTAGATGCTTTTTGTACCAAAACCTAAGAAGGTTTAACCACCCCTTTCCCCATCTAAAGAGTGTTGTGCTTTGGGTTTGTCCCCTTCAGAAAGGAACCCCACATGCAATGGATTAACTTCAGAGGCATAATGTTGAGTGAGGAAAGCCATGGACAAAACATACAGACTGTGTATTACATTTACATGTGGTTCAAGAAAAGGCAAAACTGGGCGCCTGGGTGGCTCAGTTGGTTAAGCGTCTACTCAGGTCATGATCCCAGCTGGGATCATGAGTCCCGCATCGGGCTCCAGTCCTGCATTGGGCTCCCTGCTCAATGGGGAGTCTGCTTCTCTCTGTCACATAAATAAATAAAATCTAAAAAAAAAAAAAAAAAAGCAAAACTATCCTTCAGTGATGAGAGTCTGCAGGTCTCTGGGGAGGGCAGTTGACAGGGAGGGGGCAGGAGGAAGACTTCTGGAACGTTAGAACTGTTCTAAATCTTGATTTGGGTTGTTGGTAACACATATGTAAAAATCCATCTAGTGATTCACTTAAGATTTGAGTATTTTACTGTATGTAATGTAGATACCACACCTCAATGTTTTTAAAAAGGAGAACTCCCCCTGGTCAAGTCCTGCCACGTGGATGGTGAGGGTTGAGGTGGTGTCATGCCTCCTGGTGAGTGGGGTTGGGGCACAGTGGCTGTAGACCTAAAAATGTGGCTAATTTCTCTTTGGTGTCACCTGCTCTACGTTCTCCAAGATCTCCCCAGACACACAAGGATGGGTGTCTAGCAGCCATGCTAATAAATGAGCCCGTCTTTGCTCTCCACCATAGTGGACTGGACAAGGGATGGACACCTGACCCAAGCGCCTCTCCTGGGATGTAGACTTGCATCCAATAGCTCGCCTTCAAGCTGATCTGGAACGTGAAACTAGTGAAGCCCAGGAAGGCAGTTTTCTGATGTGCTGATGAAGAAATGGAGAAAGCTGGTCTGCAGAGGGGTGGATGAATGGATCAGCCATTCAGGAAGAAGCAGTGGCAGCCATACCTTGACTTCTGATGGATTTCCATGGCTGGCTGCATCCCTGCCCCTGTGGGGCCTGAAACTCCCCTGTATTCCTGTAACACATCCCCTTTGCTTAAGCCACAAGCACAGACAACTCAATTCTGTGAAGGGGCTCAGAGCTCTGGATCAAGGTCAGATGTGCGACAACTCTGGGGTCAGAGCAGGGAGCAGATGTGCAATCCACTCAAGATTCAAATTCCCCATTGAGAGACTTAGCTTGTGTCCTCCAACCCCCTACGCATGATCTGTACTGGGGAGAGCCCTAAGGTGGACAGCCCCACCTGGTCCTCATGAAATGGGGAGGGACAATCCTCCAAACAGAGAGTGGGTTTTTGTTACCAAAGAGAGGGGAAGGATTCTGGGCAAACCAGAACAATGGATACCCCCTCCATCCCACTGGTGGCTGCCTAGCCCATAGATAATCCCAAGAAGTAGATTCAAGTTACAATTGGGGTGTGTGACAATTGTGACTTCCAAATTTTCTCTGGCTATCCAATCTCCATCATGTTTAGGTGAGGGTAGGAAGTGAGGCATGCAGTGACTGTCAGGTTGGCAATCTCTTTAATTCCATACTCAGCCTCTAGGGTTCCTCTCACCACTCCTCTCTCCTGACCAAGGTGGGATGGAGAATGGAGGGAACTTAGGTGGCTTCAAGGAAGCAGACGCAGGGGGCTCTATGATCTGGGCCCTCAGTGGCTGCTATGAGCATATCTCTGGTTCCATCTCATCTTTCTGGTCCTGCTGAGTTTGTGATCTGTTCTCTTAGTACAGTCCCTCCCTTTGGCCAACAACCATGTGAACTCCTTTTTTTTTTCTTCCATATTTATAACCCCCACCCCTTGCCAGTGCTCCCTTCAAACGTTGCAACTCTCCTGTGTCCGACCTAGGAGCTGGCTAGGGAGGTCGCCCCGGGGTCTCACCAGCCACTGCCCCAGCGTTATGTCCTGCATGTCTGTGTGATGTCACCCCTCTTTTAGTTTGGTCATGATCACATCTCGATATTTTGAAATTTCGGGACTAAATTGTAAAGTTTGTGACTGTCAAAGAAGAAAGAAAAAATTGTTGGTAAGAGATATAAATATATACGTGACACAGCAAGGAAGAAAATCTGGGTAGATAGTAGAGTCCTTTTTGCAGACGCCACGTGGCTGTAAATAATACTCATGATTTTCATCCTCTATCCGCCAGTCCATGTTCCTTTTTTTTAAGATTTTATTTTTTATTTAATTTAATTTAAATTTTACTCCGTTAACATACAGTGCAATATTGGTTTCTGGAATAGAATTCAGTGATTCATCACTTACGTACAACACCCAGTGCTCATCACAAAAAGTGCCCTCCTTAATACCCATCACCCATCTAGCCCATCCCCCAGCCACCTCCCTCCATCAACCCTCAATTTGTTCTCTATCGTTAAAAGTCTCTTGGGGCTCCTAGGTGGCTCAGTCGCTTAAGGGGCTGCCTTCAGCTCGGGTTGTGATCCTGGGGTCCTGGGATCGAGCCCTGAGTTGGGCTCCCTGCTCAGCGGGGAGTCTGCTTCTCCCTCTCCCTCTGCTGCTCCCCCTGCTTGTGCTCTCTGGCTCTTTCTCTCAAATAAATAAATAAAATCTTAAAAAAAAAGTCTTATGGGAGCACCTGGGTGGCTCAGTCGGTTAAGCGTCTGCCTTCTGCTCAGGTCATGATCCTGAGCTCTACGTGCACTCCTTCTGCTCACTCTGTGTATTAGCACTCTCTCCCCCACTGGTTTGTCAGGATTCGGCACCCTACCAACACTAGTAATCTCTTTTAAAATATTACATTATAATCAATGCAGAAAAATTCACCCTTTACAGCGTACAGTTCTATGAGTTTTGACAAATGCATACATCATGTCACCACCACCACCACAACCAAGATACAGAACACCTCCATTGTCCTAAAAAATTTCCTTGGACTGCCAGAGCCATGCTGGCAAAGGCAAATATGCTTTATTTTCTATAGTTTTGCCTTTTCCATAATGTAATAGAGATGAAATCATACAGTATGTACTTAAATTTTTTTTTTTTTTTTTTGGCATGGCTTCCTAGCGTAATGCATTTGAGATTCACGCATGCTGTGGCAGGTTTAGGGAGTTCATTTATATTGCTGACTAGTAGTCTGTTGTGTGAATGGAACCACAGTGTGTTTATCTATTCCCAGGCTGAAGGACAGCTGGATTATTTCTGAAAAGTTTTGGGCAATTATTAATAAAGCTGTTCTACATAGGGGCGCCTGGATGGCTCAGTGGTTTAAGCATCTGATTTTTGATCTCAGCTCAGGTCTTGATCTCAGGGTCTTGAATTCAAGCTCTGTGTTGGGCTCCACACTGGGTGTGGAGCCTACTTAAAAAAACAAAACAAAAAAGGGGCACCTGGGTGGCTCATCCAGTTGAGCACTGGACTCTTGATTTTGGCTCAGGTCATGATCTCGGGGTCGCGGGATCAAGTGTTGCATAGGGTTCCACGCCCAGCAGGGAGTCTGCTTGGGATTCTCTCTCTCCCTCTGCCCCTCCCCCCATGCTCGCTTTCTCTCTCTCAAATAAATAAAATAAATCTTTAAAAAGAGAGAGAAAATAAAGCTGTTGTAAATACTCATGTGTAGGTTTCTGTGTGTGTGCAAGTTTTCATTTCTCTGGGACAAATAAGAGTGAGATGGCTGAGTCTCATGGCAAATGTTTTTTTAATTTCCAAAATATGTCAGACTGCTTTCCAAAGGGGCTGAACCAATATGCATTCCTACCAGCAAAGTAAAAATGTTCTAATTGCTTTCCACATCCTCACCAGCACTTGGCTTTGCTGATTTTTTGTTTTTTGTCTTTTTTGGTTTTGACTTTTTAAAAAACTTTTTTAAAGATTTATTTCTTTAATTGAGAGAGAAAGAGAGAGAGAGTTGGGGGAGGCGCAGAGGCAGAGACTCTTCAAGCAGACTCCCCGCTGAGTCTCTCTCTTTACAGGAGAGGTGGTATACTCTCTGAAACTGCCATTAACAAATGGCTACACACTTGGTGGCTTGAAACAACAGAAATTTGTTCTCTTACAATTCTGGAGGCCAAAAGTTGAAATCAAGGTGTCAGCAGGGCTGTGCTTTTTACAGAAGCTCTAGGGGAGAATCCGTTCCATGCCTCTTCTAGCTTCTGGTGGTTGCCAGTTTCCTTGGCTGAAACCACATCATTCTAGTCTCTACCTCAATGGCTATGTCACCTCTGTGTGTCTCTTAGAAGGACACTTGTCATTGGAATTAGCCAGCCTAGATAATCTAGTAGGACCTCGTTATCTCAAAATACTTAATTTAATTATACCTGCAAAGAACCTTTTTCTAAATAAGGTAAATTTCACAGGTTCTGGGCATTAGGATATGGTTCTTTGGGGGTAGATAATTATAGCAGTAGAAGTTCTACCTTCCAGGAAGATTTCCCTTCCTCGCTGTCCCCAGGGCTGTCCTGCGTGAGGCTGTCATGCCCCAGCAGGCCACTGCCATCTGGCCAGCACACCATCAGAACTCTCTCTGGAGTGGGAGAAGAGGCTCCACTGTCTCCCAGGACTCAAACAGCAGGGTATCACCCCCACATAGGAAGGGGGTTAAGATGCTGGTAGGCCAAAACCAAAAATAAACAATGTGACAGATGCCCACTAGAGATAGGAGTCCCCTCCACCCCTGCCTGCATCTTTTGAGTCACTGATAGTGACTCATTTCTACAGTTCTCCTGGGACATAAAACTGTTTTTGATTTATTATTTGGGGAGTAAGAGGGAGCCAAGGACTTTCACTTAGTTCTTCCTAGTACATTAACCTTTAGTTCAAGGGTCAGGGGGCCCAGGTGAGGATTTGACCAGTTCCTGAGGAACATAGGATGGATTTCACGCCTTGCAGTTCTGTACTCTCACACCCCCCGAATCTTATTTTAATGGTCCTATGCCTTGTAGCAACAGACCTTAAAAGATTCTTTGAGCTATAGCACATAAAGGTCTTGACTTTCTTTTTTTTTTTTTAAGATTTTATTTTTAAGTAATCTGTATACCCAATGTGGGGCTCAAACTCACAACCCTGAGAACAAGAGTTGCAGATTCCTCCAACTGAGCTAGCCAGGCACCCCTTATTTTATTTCTTGAATCAATAATCTAGATTATTTAAGTTTACCTTGCTTGATATTATTCAATGCCATTATAAGCAGCCACCCCACTCTGTGTTCCTAATTTCTTCATTCCCCTTATTTATTTATTTATTTAATTTATTTATTTTTGGTAGGCTCTACACCCAGCATGGGGCTTGAACTCACAACCCCTTGACCAAGAGTCACATGCTCTATGGACTGAGCCAGCCAGCAGCCCCTTCTTTATTCCCTTCAAATCTGTTTTGACCAAAGCCACTCAGCTCCCAGAACTTGACCCTCAGAGGACACATGATCTCTGGTGTTCACAGCTGATAATTTTATTAGCTATTTCTCCTCTGTGTGCTGTGGGATGCTGTTTTCTCAATACTGACCATAAACAGGAATCTCAGAAACTTTTGCCTAAAGCCTGGGCCTGAAGCCATCTTTCTGGTGCCAATACTTGGATCAGTTAGGGCTCTTTGATGCCAACAGCCAAAACCTACCCTGGCTAATGAAATAAAAAGAGAAGGAAATAGAAGGATATTGGGTGGGTCACAGAGCTGAGGAAGGAACAGGGTAACCTGTCTTGGAGTGGGAATCGGGGTGGCTCTGAAACTCCCACAATAGGAGCTCATGGATCGTTTGTTAAGGATGTTGCCAAGATTGGGGCGCCTGGGTGGCTCAGACGGTTGGGCGTCTGCCTTCGGCTCAGGTCATGATCCCAGGGTCCTGGGATCGAGCCCCGCATCGGGCTCCCTGCTTGGTGGGGAATCTGCTTCTCCCTCTCCCTCTGCCTGCTTCTTCCCCTGCTTGTACACTCTCTCTCTCTGTCAAAAATAAATAAAATCTTTAAAAAAAAAAAAAAGGATGTTGCCAAGACCTGACTAAGCAATAGCTGTTTTTCTTTTGTCAGTCTAACCACCAATTCAGATTCTCCAGGGAAAGACAGATGGCCTAGTTTGGGTCACCCACCCATCCTTGTCTCTAGAATCTGCAAGCCCTGTGATTGGCTGTCTCACCAGAGCCTCAGGAAGCAGGAGAGGCTGCTCTCAGAGGCAGGGAAAGTTGTGCTGGGCAGGCCAAATATGGCCCCAGCCTCTGGCCTTCTCTGAGTGGGGAAAGACACGGTCCCTGCTCTAGGGAAGCTGCCAGTCCGATGGTGGAGACACAGCCTGTGCTCTCAATGACCCTCCAGTCTGATGGGAAGACTAGTCACAAAACTAAAGAGATTTAAGAGAAAGAGGAAATGTAGGTAATGGCACAGATATGTTCAAGACAGGGTTTTGGGAAAAAAAAAAAAGAAGACAGGGTTTTGGGGTTTTTTAGTAGTGAAAAACCAGAAACGGCTAAAATACCCTAAAAAAAGGGAAATGATTAAATAATTAAATGATTAAATGATTACATACTCTGTATCAATATACAAGCATTAAAATCAGGTTTTTGAAAAAATAGTAATATGAGAAAATATTAGTGGTGTAATACTAAGTGAAAAAAATTGGATACTAAATTGTCCAACTGTGTAAAGCAGTATATACAGAAGGAGGGAAATACACCAAATAAACATTTTGAGTACTTTTATATGTGAGGCCTTGAGGCCAATACATATATTATTTTACTAACCCTTATGTGATAGATACAATTTTTTAAAAGATTTTATTTATTTTAGGGAAAGAGAGGAGCAGAGGGAGAGGGACAAGCAGACTCGCCACTGAGTGTGGAGCTCCACATGGGGCTTGATCTCAGGACTGAACTGAAACCAAGAGTCAGATACTCAACCACCGACTGAGCTACCCAGGAGACCCTGTGATAGATACTATCCTCCCCATTTTATAGATGAAGAGACTGAGGCTTGGGTAGGTTAACTCCATGGATGGTCACATAGGTAGTAAGTGGCTAACGCAATCCAGATCGGTCTAAAGCCAAAGTCTGTGTTTTTAAGATGATCTTGGCTCTCCTGAGCTCCCAATGTTGGGGTTATGAGTGATTTATATTCTTTTATGTAACTTTCCTGAATTGTCCTTTCTACATCAAACATGTATCTACCTATGCAGTCAGGAGAAATATATATTTTGAAAAAGAGTGTTAAAAAAGAAATATGCAACAAAAACATATAAACAGGAGAAAGATACTGTATTGAACAAAAACATGTGTAAGGTCTGGGAGCTTCCTTTGCAGTACTTTGTAGTGTTTGTTATCACACTATCAGTCTGCATTGCCAATATACATACATATATGTAAATATCTCACTGTCTTTGAGGGCAGGGGCCCTGTCATTTTTATCTCTGTGGTAGGGAATTGCTTAGGGAAGATATCCTCCAACGTAGGGCTTAGGACATAATACGCTCTTAGTAATTGTGGAATGAGAGAAACCACAGAGACGAGAAGCCGGTGACCGGAAGACACAATCAGAAAAGGTTTTGCTGGACTCCAGGGGGTTGGGAGTTCTGAGAGGGCGACTAAGGAGCCAGGGAGGGGTTGGATGGGGACGGGGTGGGGGTGGGGGTGAGGCTGAGGCTGAGGCTGGAGGTGGGGGGACGACAGTGCTCAGGAGGAGGTTTTGGTTTTGAGGCAGGTATTGAGCGGGAGGAATGTGACAGCGACAGTCGCAGGCCCAGCCTCCCAATTTTTGTCGTCCCCCCCGCCTCGCGCTCAGGAGGGTGAAGACGGGTCTCAGTTCCCTATGGCGGGAGTGCGCGGTGGGCGGGCCGGGCGCTCCCCGCACCTCCCCCGGCCGGGTCTCGGTTTCCACTCCCCCTTCGGACCGGAGTCCCGAGGCGCTGGCCGCGGTGCTGAAACAGAGCTCTCGAAGGAGGGAGGAAGGAGGGGCCGGGCCGCGGCGAAGAGGCGGAGCTCTCTGGAGCTCTAAGCTGGAAAGGGGGGGAGGGGGAGGGCGGTGCCAGTAGGCCTGAGACCCTGGCAGGCTGGAGAGGAGGCAGGAGACCGGAGACAGCCTGGCTAGAGCGGACAAAGGCATCTGGACAAGCTTTCCCTGAAGAAACCAAGGTTGTGTTACTGGTCTTATTTATTAATCCTCTTTCTTCTACCTTGGAGGGACCCTCACCTTGTACCCTTACCTCAGCCTCCTCCCCAAACCTGGCTAAGGAGTGACCCACTCCTAGGCCTCTGTCTGCAAAGTATCTGGCTTACAGCCCACAGGATCCCAGCCCAGGACCTACATCCTCACCATGGTGAAGTTGCTGCCTGCCCAGGAGGCAGCCAAGATCTACCATACCAACTATGTGCGCAACTCGAGGGCTGTGGGTGTGATGTGGGGCACGCTCACCATCTGCTTCTCGGTACTGGTCATGGCCCTCTTCATCCAGCCCTACTGGATTGGTGACAGTGTTAACACACCCCAGGCAGGCTACTTTGGCCTTTTCTCCTACTGTGTGGGCAACGTGCTGTCCTCTGAACTCATCTGCAAGGGTGGCCCACTGGACTTCTCCTCCATTCCCTCTAGAGCCTTCAAGACTGCCATGTTTTTTGTGGCCTTGGCCATGTTCCTCATCATTGGCTCCATCATCTGCTTTAGCCTCTTCTTTGTCTGCAACACGGCCACGGTCTACAAGATCTGCGCATGGATGCAGCTGGCTGCAGGTGAGCAAGATTAATGGGAGGACAAGCAGGGACCCCCACCCCCCCAGGCCATAGGGGAAGCTGCACCATTCCACCCTCTGTGGATGCTCTGGGTCTCCTACCCAGACGCTCTCCTTTACATTATATTTTTTTTCAAAGATTTCATTTTTTTAAGTAATCTCTACTCCCAACATGGGGCCCGAACTCACAACTCCAAGATCTAGAGTTACACACTTCACCGACTGAGCCAGCCAGGCGTCCCTCAGCTGTTCTCCTTTAGCCCAGCCCTACTTAGTACTCTGCAGAAGCTTCTAGGAGTAGAAAATTTTAGAATGGCTGAGACCTAAAGGATCGTTGAGATCGAATTGTTCAACCCCCTCATCTTGCAGATGGGAACTGAGGTCCAGAGAGGGGAAGTGACTTGCCCAGGAGGACACAGCTAGTTGATAGAAGGTGTCCTGACTCCCAGGCCACCACATCAGAGGTTGTTGTTGCTCTGAGAAGGAAAAAGAAGGAAGCCTCCATTGTTGGCCCTGTGGGAATAGGATCCAACCCGGGGCAAAATAGTCAAGCACATCCTAGATGTCTCCATCTCCCACTTCTAGGCATTTGTTCTTTCTCCTTTAAGGATCCACAGATCCCTGCCCTCACTCCTTCCTTCCCACTCCAGGTCATTGATTTGGAGTGCTATGCTGTGACCTTTCCCATAGAAACTTGCATTTAAGTTCCCTTTTTCATGGTGGAGTGAAAGTCTTTGTTCCCTAGTTATAGGTTTCCATACTTGAGGCAATAAATGGGAGTGATATTTTGTGGTGGGGGAGTAGGGTGGTGCCTAGGGTCTTTTAAAACTATGTGGGGTAGGTGGCTACTTATGGTGCCCAGAAATAAGGCCTTCCCTGTCCCTTTGTCTTTCTCCTGGCCCAGGCAGGCCTCTCAGTCCTTGAGCCAGCTGGTCCTATTCTCTAAAGCCTTGTCCAGCAGCCCTTAGTCCCTTCCTACCCCAAGGGCCATGCACAGGCTGTCCATACTAGGAAATGTCCAGGAGCAGTGCTAGCACTGCAGACTAGAGAGAAAATCATCCTGACATTATTGGTTAAAATGAGAAGTATTATCCATAACAGGGGGAATGAGCAGGGACCAGAATCCCAGACAACCAAACACATAGACTCAACACTCTGTCAGAGTTGGAGGGGGACCCCAGAGAGCTGTAAGTACCCCCGCCAACTACAGATGAGGAATCTGGGACTGAGAAAGAGAGAAAGACTTGACCAAGGCTATAGCAAATCAACTGGCAACTAAGGACCAAGGAGAATTAAGGCAGTGGGTTCCAAGAAACTAGATGTATTCCAAAGACATTTTTATTGAGCCACACATTTACATAAGTATAATGACTTACAAAGTACTTTCACATATATCATCTGGAGGAGCCCTATCCCTACCTAGTGAGGGAGATATTACTCTTATTTTATAGATAAGGCTCTTAGTGGGTAACTTGTCTTTAGCACAGGTAGTGATAGACAGAACCTTTGATTCAAAATCTTGTACTCAGGCCACTCACCTGGCTCCAGAGCTGCCTCCCCAATCCATCTACCATCTCCCTCTCCTCTCGTCTTTCTATACATTGAGGGAGAGGCTGGGGGCAAGGCTGAGGTAAATCTTGGTGAGCAGTGGGGAGTAGGAGGGGTAATGAAGATTTGGCAGTTTTGTGACGAAGAGGAGTAGAGTGGACCCTGGCATGCTTACCAGCTGGTCCTCCATATCAGAGCTATGGAATGCTGGAAACACAACCACTCCTCTCATTCTCCACACTGTCCCCACCCACAGCCTCCGGCAACAGGTACCATTTGGTGAACAGGCAGTGCTTGGGAAGGCCTGGGTGGGGTAGGCATCAGCAGGCCATTTGAATTAGACTCCAGGTCATGGAGCTGGAGACACTGATAGCAGAGGTGGCCAGATGCCACCCTATGAAACATTTATGTTGGGGGAGAGTGAAGGTGGTGTCATGTTCCATTCTTTAGTGTAGGGGAATGGAAGATGAGCCAAAGGGAGTGATGAAGAGGGCTATGTGCTCTGCAGACAGCAGCTGGGACATGCATCCATTTGAAGATGCTTAAACCAGTTAGTTTAACCTTGCCAAGAAGCCTGAGACCAGGGAGGGGAGCAGAAGAAAGGAAAGAGGATTGATGACGGGGGCAGTGTGGGGCGGTAGTTTAACAATGTTAATTGAGCTTCTGGATGCCAGGTATAAGCTGTGTGTGGTTCCAGCTCCTAGAAACACAGGTAGGGCAAGTTGCTTGTCTCTCTGAGTCTTGGTAACCTCATCTGTAGAATGTAGCAACAGGACATCCTATCACAAAGCTCTGGTGAGGATGGGATGTCTAATGCATATAAAACACCTTCTACAGTGCTTGACACATAGTAGGTGCTCAGTTAATGTGAAAAACACAAAGGCAACTTTATCAGTCAGGATGGGTGCGGTGACAAATAACTCCCAACTCTTAGTGGCTTAAAGCAAAGCTTTATTTTTTGCTTGTGGTACATGCTCATTGAGGATCAGTTGGGGGCTTGGCTCTCACTGTTCTCTCCTGGAACCCTGGCTGATGGAGCATCAGCTGTCCTCTGGCTGTCATCATGGCAGAGTGAAAGGGAGCTCTGAAAGGTCTCTCCCTAGCAGTTAAATGCTCTGGTCTGGAAATGCACACATTTCCACTCGCGTTTTGTTTTCTTTTTTTTTTAAGATTTTATTTATTTATTTGACAGAGACACAGCGAGAGAGGGAACACAAGCAGGGGGAGTGGGAGAGGGAGAAGCAGGCTTCCCGCCGAGCAGGGAGCCCAACGTGGGGCTCGATCCCAGCACCCTGGGACCAGACGCTTAACGACTGAGCCACCCAGGCGCCCCTCCACTCACGTTTTGTTTTCTAAGGGAACTCTTATGGCCTTGCCTAACTTGAAAAGAGGAGAGCTAGGAAGTATAATCCTACTATGTACCTGAAACATTTGTGAACACCTCTAATGACACCCACATCCACTGAGGTTGCTTCCATCGGCTTCAGTGCCAATAATAATAACCACAACTGACAGTAACTGGCTGCTTGCCATGAACCAGACGCTGCAGCGAGCGTTTTCTCTACCTGACCACACTTAATCCTCATAACTGCTATGAGTCAGGCATTGTTATCCTTGTTTTACAGATGAGAGACTGGAAGTCAGAAAGGGTAAGTAAACTCCCCTTAGAGTCTTGAGATACTACAAATGGGGGTGACCCCCACTGTGCCCAGGCCCCTGGGTCAGGTGCTCACAGAGGGCCGTGGCACCCATAGTAACAACCTGTTTCCAGGTTAGAGGCCCTGGGCTCTTTTCCAGAGATGCTATGGAAGGAGAATGGGGCCAAGGGGAGGAGATGGGGAGAATGGAAAGTCCAAAAGGGCAGCTCCTTTCTACATTGAACTGTTCCCGTCTCCCACCACGGTTAAGGCACCAAAGTACTGGTCTTATACCAGCTGGGGAAAGCCATAGGTTTTACCAAAAAGCTCTGGGAGGGTTCCTGCTCCCCTCCCCTATCTTCCTGAAACACTTCTCATTTTGTCACTAAGTCTGAAATGTCAGCACTAAATACATTCAGCTCTTTGGAGAGGTGTGTCTGGGAGTTGAGGGAATTAACTTTGAGGTCAAAAAAGTCAGAAGCCAGGTGTTGGCTCTGCTGTAGCTGGATGACTGGGCAATTCACTTGGTTTCTCTGAGACCTCAGTTTTCTAACCTGTAAAATGGGATATTAATACATGGCCTACTTCACAGAACTGTTGTCGGGATCGAGAGAAAAATGGTACATGAAATATTTTGTGACCTATAAGAGAACTATATAAATAATTTTGTCCTGTATAAAATGAAAGGAGAGTTGATATATTTAGGTGGGGAGGTGGGATCCTGATCTTTATACTTTCTATGCATTCGTTTGATCTGCTGACCTTCCTTGCAAGTGCAAGCTGAGCCCAAGGTAGGTAACTGGGTCCTGTGAGGTGCTTCTCAGGTGCTCCTGGGTGGGGCAGAGCCTTGGAACTAAAGAGCCTCCAGGCCTGTGGAAGGAGGGTGAGGAATGGGAAAGTGGCACAGATAATGGAAGGCACCCCCTGCCTACATGGTGGTTGTCCTTGGGGTCGCCTTGGTCACATTCCAGGATTATGTCACCTATCTGTGCAGCGAAGGTGGGGTGGTCATTGGTGGGAGGGCATGGGAGAAGTGAGGAGAAGGTAGGGAAAATGACATTTTTGGCTGTAAATACTAAGTCAATAAAAGCACAGGATGGGATAATCGTAGCTAACACTCATAAAGTACTAAGTATGTGCCAGGCACTTTTCCAGTATTAACCCATTTGAACCTCACTTCAATCCAAACAGGTAGGGACTGTTCATATCCCCACTTTATAGATGAGGAAACTGAAGCCAAAGAAGCTTAAGTGGCTTGCTCTGAGCCACACAGCTAGTTAGCAAAGAGCTGGGCTTGAAATCCAGGCAGACTGTGCTAGTGTTTCCCAGCTTTTCCTATTGAGAGAATTACCTGAAAGAATGTTTTTAAAAACAGGGATTCCTGAGCCCAACCCTGGCCTGGAAATCAGTATTTTAAATAAATATTAGGGGTTCTTAAATTCAGGGAAGTGTGAGCAACTGCACTGACCTGTACTGGGTCAGGATGAAGAGACCTATTTACTTGAATGAAAGGTTCATGAAGGAAGCAGCCAGAGATGGGGCTGGAAAACTTTGTGTATCCATTAAATCTAAGATTCCAAGTTGTAGGACATGCCATGCATTATTCTATGTGCTATAAAAAGGAAAAATACTTTTTCTTTTTTTTAAGTAGCCCAATGTGGGGCTTGAACTCACAGCCCTGAGATTAAGACCTGAGCTGATATCAAGAGTCAGACACTTAACCAATTGAGCCACCCAGGCGCCCAGGAAAAATACTTCTACTCAAACCATGGCCTGAAGCTTTCTTATTATACTTATTTCAGAGATAACGGAGTATGAATAATTGTACATCTTAGAAATGATGAGTTCTCTGGGCTGGGATCAGATTTTGGAGGGGTTTGAAGCCAGAGAGGGGCAAGGCTGAGGGCCTGGTAGGACCACTTGGTGCTATGGCAGAATATTCCCTGGGCTGAGGAGCTCCACTTTCTGCCTCTACTCCTGACCAAGAGCAAGTCTCTTTAGCTCTTGGATCCTCAATTTTCTCCCCTGGGTTCTACAAGAATGTTGGTAGGAGCTGCCCCATACCTCTCAAGGCTGTTAACACAAAGAGAAGGGAGGTGACAAGACGGAAGCAGTGCAAGGTGGGCGGTAGAAGGCTGAGCACACCCAGCCTGACACCATCTGCACCCCCTCCTACCCCCTCAGCCACAGGCCTGATGATTGGCTGCCTGGTCTACCCAGATGGTTGGGACTCAAGTGAGGTGCGGCGCATGTGTGGGGAGCAGACGGGCAAGTACACACTGGGTCAGTGCACCATCCGCTGGGCCTTCATGCTGGCCATCCTCAGCATCGGAGACGCCCTCATCCTCTCCTTCCTGGCCTTTGTGCTGGGCTACCGGCAGGACAAGCTCCTTCCTGATGACTACAAGGCAGATGGAAAAGGTAACTCGCCATCCCCCAGGGAGGTGGGGCTTCCTCTCAGCCAGTCCCCAGAGGATTGGTCTCTGGCCAGGAGTTGGGGACATCAAGACCAATTAGACACAGCCCTTATTCCAGAGGCCAAGGGCCAGTGGGGTTTTGCAAGCCAGCAGGTGATGAGGTAATGACAGAGGTTGTCTGTGACAGAAGGGTGTCCTCCTGCCTCCCTCAAACCCCCACTCCTGTCAGGGTCTACAGGGGAGAGAACCCTGATCCAGCCTGGGGAGATAGGGATGGCCTCCTATAGAAGGTGGCACTGAGGCTGGGTCTGGAAGTTCACTGGGGGTTTCTTTGGTGGAGAGAGGAACAACAGGTTAGCAGAGGGGCTGAGTTGTTGGGGCAGGAGGAGAAAGGCAGGTTGGGGGCAGATGTGAAAGCTCCTGGAGTACAGATGGTGGGCGCTCCCTTGAGTTGGGGAGAGAGCCTTGGGGTTCTTTGTATGCCATCCTGTTTCAATTTCCTTTGGCCCAAATCCTATCCCTGAGTTTTCAGAGTCAGATGTAGCTGACCCAAAGCCCAGGCAGACGTCTCTTCAGCCTTTTCTGACTGTTTCCCATTGACCTTTTTTCCTCCTAGGGTAGTTTCTGCTCCTTTCTGTCATTAGGCTCTTCCCCTGTGTTAAGGGGCTTTCTCGGGGCATAAATTTTATCTCCTAGTCATAGGGCAAGTCCTGTCTCACACCACTGTGAATCCCAAAATGCCTACCCAGCAGGTGGCCACTGTGAGGGGCCTGTTGCACCTCAGAGACGTCTCCAGTCACCTTTCCCCACAGTTGTCTTCACCCCATTGACCTGAACTGGAAGAAAGAGGTAAACTCCCTTGCCCCCCATGACCAAGGACCTTTCCCAGATAAGGAACTTGAAGCTTGGAAGAGAGACCCACCCAGAGGTACACGAAAAGGTGGTGGCAAGGAGGACCCGGAATTCTGGTCTTCTCTGGCTCAGCCCAGGGCCCACTTCTTCATAAGGAAGTAATCAAACATCTTGCCCTTCTTTGGAAGTGGAAGAAGAGTGACTCACACACCTAAGTTATGAAAAGCAAATTACTAGAATGAGCTGGGTCAAGGAGGAGAGAAGACAGAGGTATCTTTCCATTGTAGGACGTGCCTATAGCTTCTAGGTTCTGAGAACACTTAAGGCCTGGGTCCCTTGCAAACCCCATAAAGGGAAGGGAAATGGAGCTAATATAAATACTGAGCCATTTCCATGCGCAGGAGTGATGTAAGTTTTGTTCATAGGAGCCATTTTTATTTAATCTGCACAGCAACCCTGTGAGGGCAGGTTGGAGATGGGGGAGTCCAGCAGCAATTTGTACGACCAGCATTTTCTCCAGTGATGGAGAGTTTCTCAGGGAGGCTTCATTTAGCAGAGTTGCTGGAAGCATTTTGTTCAGCTCTCAGCCTCAAGACAGGGCCAACCTTAAATCTGTCTGCACACATGCAGAGAATATTTTTATATTACTCATTTGTATTCTTTCCTTTTCAGAAGGGATTCTTTCAGCTGGAAAGAAATTTTATTGACATCACTCATTCATTCATTCATTCATTCATTCAGTAAGCTCCACACTTAGCATGGAGCCCAAGGCTCACGACCCTGAGATCAAGAACTGAGCTGAGATCAAGAGTCAGACACTTAAACCAACTGAGCCACCCAGGCGCCCCCACATAATTCTAAAGGGAAGTGCTTTCTTATGAAGTGATGGTTTTGTCCCTTTGACACTTTTCTTTACAAATCAAAATGTCAATTGGCTCTCTTCTCCTTCCTTGTCCTTCTCTTTTCATATCCCATGCACCTGTCTTCAATCTTTTCAGATTTTTTTCTCTCCATATTTTAGTTCCTTCACTATCATGCAGCATTTAGTTCATCCTTTTATTACCTGTTAGAAAACACCCACATAGTCTTTCTGAATACATCTAACTACTCAGTGAAGTAGTTATTGTCTCTGTCAAAGCACAGAATTGGATCAGGAGGGCAGAGGTTGAGTCCTAGTTCTTTCAAGTCACTTTCTTCAAGGTAAAAAGGGGGACTCCTGCTCTGCCACCTCCATTATTGTGTGGCATGAACGAAACTATGAAAGCAGAAATGAAACCTTGCACAAGTACATAGTTGTTGATCCACTGCTTAAGGGTTAAGGAGGCAGAGAATGAGTGGGCTTTGGATTCAGACCTAGGTTTAAAATTTGCGCTCCGACAAACCATAAGGGACTCTTAAGCATAGGAAACAAACTGAAGGTTGCCGGAGGGGTGAAGGGTGGTGGGATGGGGGAACTGGGTGATGGACATTAAGGAGGGCATGGGATGTAATGAGCACTGGGCATTATATAAGACTGATGAATCACTGACCTCTACCGCTGAAATCAATAATACATTATATGTTAATTGAATTTAAATAAAAATTAAAAAAATAAAATTTGGGCTCCATTGTTATCTAGCCGTGACTTTGCAGAGATTACTCAGCTTCTCTGAGTCTCAGTTTCCTCATCTGAGCCTCATTTTTATGGAGATAGGTGGCAGGTTTCTCATTTGTAAAAAATACCTACTTCAAAAAATCGTGAACAAGATAAGGCTAAGCGACAAGATGAGGATGTCTGCTCTTGTCACTGCTGTTGAAGATTGTACTGGAGGTTATAGCGAGGGCAATTAAGCAAGAAAAAGAAAGAAAAGAAATCAAGTTTGGAGAGGAAGAAGTACAACTATCTCTATTAGCAGATGACATGATCTGCATATGGAAAATCCTAAATAATCCAATAAAAAACTATTAAAGCTGGGGCGCCTGGGTGGCTCAGTTGGTTAAGCGACTGCCTTCGGCTCAGGTCATGATCCTGGAGTCCCGGGATCGAGTCCCACATCGGGCTCCCTGCTCAGCAGGGAGTCTGCTTCTCCCTCTGACTCTCCTCCCGCTCATGCTCTCTGTCTCTCATTCTCTCTCTCTCAAATAAATAAATAAATAAATCTTTAAAAAAAACAAAAAAACAAAAAAACAAAAAACCAAAAACTATTAAAGCTAATGTACAACATCAGCAAGGTTGTAGGATATAAGCAGTATACAAAATTTATTGCATTTGTATACACGAGCAATGAACAATCGGAAAATGACATTAAGAAAACAACTTCATTTATAATAGCATCAAAAAGAATAAAATACGTAGAAATAAATTTAACAAAAGAAGTGTAAGATTTGTACATGAAAATTAAAAACCATTGTTGAGAGGTATTAAAGGCCTAAATAGATGGAAACATCCATATTCATTGATCAGAAAACTTAATATATTAAGATGGCAACGCTCCCCAAACTGACCTACAGATTCAGTGCAATCCCTATCAAAATTCCAGTTGGCTTTTTGCAGAGATTGATAAGCTGATTCTAAAATTCATATGGAAATGCAAGGGACCCAGAATAGCCAAAACAATCATGAAGAACAAAATTGAAGGACACTCATGTCCTGATTTGAAACTTACTACAAAGCTATAGTAATCAAGATGGTGTGGTACTGGTGTGAGGACAAACATACAGATCAATGGAATAAAATTGAGAGTCCAAAAATAAAGCCAAACATCTATGGCAAATGATTTCCTTTTTTTAAAAAAAAGATTTTTTTTTATTTTGAGAGAAAGAAAGAGAGAGCACGAATGAGGGGGAAGGGCAGAGGGGGAGGGAGAAGCAGGCTCTCTGCTGAGCTGGGAGCCAGATGGACATGGGGCTCAATCCCAGGACCCCGGGAACATGACCTGAGCTGAAGGCAGATGCTCAACTGACTGAGCCACCCAGGCACCTCTGGCAAATTGATTTTCAACAAGGGTGCCAAGACCATTCAGTGGAGGGAAAGAATAGTCTTCTCAATAAATGATGCTGGAACAACCAGATATCTACAGGCAAAAGAATGAAGTTGGATTACTCACCTCACATCATATACAAAAATTAACTCAAAATGGATTAAAGACTTAAATGTATGATGTAAAATTATAAAAATCTTAGAAGAAAACATAGGTATAAATCTCTGTGCCCGGGCTGCCTGGGTGGCTCAGTGGTTAAGCGTCTGCCTTTGGCTCAGGTCATGGTCCCAGGGTCCTGGGATTGAGCCCTGCATCGGGCTCCCTGCTCCATGGGAAGTCTGCTTCTCCCTCTCCCAC